TAATCCAGTGTAGATTTATTCCCTGAATGTTGTCGGGCCTCAAGCATATTTTTTTAATTGGTCCATTAAATTAACAAAATATTAAAAAAACAAGAACAATCCTTCACAGAATTAAACCCGAGACTTGGAAGTTGTGTAGATGGTGCGGTACCAGTAAAGCTACAAGCGTTTTCGTGAATATATTGGCCCCTAAACATAATAAATACTACGTCGGCCCCAAGCACATGCTTCACCAGCTTGTAGTCAGGGCCAACTCTGGATTTATACTTTTTAAAAATGTTTCTTTAACATTTTCTTTAAAACAATATCAACCCAGCCATGAGAAATTGTTTGTTGCTTTCCAAGAACCATCAATATAACATCAACCATAATTTAATTTATTATATTCGCGTTTTTTTTATTGGTTATCCTAAAATTTTACATACAAAATTTCTGAAAGCCTAGAACAAGAAAAACGTGCTAAACAATTTGTCTTTAATTGAGAGATCGTGGGATTAGAGTTAGGGTGGAGAGTGAAAATCTAGAGCAAATCACTCCAAAACTCCTCTTAAATATTGGCAAAGGTGAGCCAATCATCTGGGAACCTAGTCATATCAACTAGTAATGAGCAATTCGTTTTAAAGGCCTAACATGGTAGTAATTTCTCAAGGATGCTTCCATCTCTCAATTCATTTTCCCTGTGAGAAATCCACCCAATACTGGAGGTTAAATATGATTTTTTCCACTATCCATCTACTTGACACTGTGTAATTGGTAAATGTAGATCCCCATACTCATGAGTCTCTAGTTGATGAGATCCGAGTATTTGTGCATCTTTCCACATCGAGAACTCCCTTGTTGGTATATATCTGCAAAGTTCGGTTATGTTCCTTTAAAAACTTTTGATTCCTCGCCTAGCAAATGAACTACATAACCAACTGGGAACAAATCATGATCATTCCAAAGCATTTCGAAGACATAGAAAGACTAAATTAGAGAACAGTGCACTAGTTGGAAATTTATCATAATAAATACCGCGCACAGACAATCAAAAAGTGCATTAATTCACGTTTGACATATGGTGGAAATTGCGAATCCTTTGTTACTGGTTTTAATTAGATGGTGTGAGTTCTTGAAGTATCTCCCATTAGTTTTCAGATTAGACAACTAAAACTTTGTTACTTTCATACCACAGTTCGGTTACTTTTCTACTCACTGAGAGTAAAAAAAAAAAGAGCAAGAACCAAATGCTTGAGTTGAGAGAGATAACTGAGTTTTTAACTGAAAGATGAATATTTTGGAACTTAAACACCCCAAAAGAGCTAAACATGAGAAAGTTGTAACTGMGMRKRAAAAAAAAAAGAGCAAGAACCAAATGCTTGAGTTGAGAGAGATAACTGAGTTTTTAACTGAAAGATGAATATTTTGGAACTTAAACACCCCAAAAGAGCTAAACATGAGAAAGTTGTAACCCCGCAGGTTGTGTTTATATGCCAAATGATTTGTAAAATCCAACGTTAACATTTTCTCAATTGCTCACATTTCCATTGGTGCAACATCTTGATCACCTGAACCACCTTGTTCTGCAGGTGCAGCACCAGCGGCAACCTCGGCCTCACCCTCACCAGCCTCCTCGTCTTGCTCTGGAACCTTCTCAAATGTGTCGATCACGTTTTGAATCGTTTCCTGGTCCAAGAAATGGAAAGGTTCACCGACTCCTAGAACAGAAACCGTGCACAGCGAGCTCTTCAATGTTTCCCCTTGCAAAGTTTCCCTTATAGCCAAAATAGCATCTTTTATCAGATCTTCTCTTGATGATTCCTTGAAGCCCTCAAATCTGCGTTCCAGATAAGTTTTTGCAGCTTGTGAACGAGACCCGATAGCAAATGCTTGGTATTCGAAGTAGTTTCCGCTTGGGCAGTTGTAGTAGAGGTGAGCTCCAGACTCATCCAATCCACCTACCAGTAAACCCACACCATAAGGCCGTTTCCATGACCGTTGGGTACATACCTGCTCAAGGAAAAGTATGAAGAGGGTAAATACGTGACAAACAAATAGGTCCACCAATGAATGAAATCAGAAGTTCAGTTCGAAGTACAAGATTGATATGCGAGGGTCCTTCTCAGAAACAAGATTGTTTAGCAGGCATGCAAACAACAGAGATGTAGCAAGCAAAACATTTTGAAGCTCTAGATATGTCTTCTAACTCGAGAATCCTACCATTGGAACGCAAAAGTATTGACATGTAGGAATTCATAAAACAATATCTAACTGGACAAATGGTCCATCTGACAAATGAAGAGGCGTGAGGTCACACTACAAAGTAAGCGAAGTAATACAACTTGAAACCATAAAACCAAAAGGAGAACAACAAAGCACGACATCCATTTTTAAGTGGGAAGTAACAAAACTACTTCTTCATCAAGTGCAGAGAACAAACGATGACAGCAGAAACAACTAGAGGTCAAAAACACATTCTTCTACAATCCTAATGCTGAAGAAGTAGATAACATTTAAGGCAGTCTCTTGTTACAGGTTAAAGTTTTGTAGTCAGATTAAAGCTGACACTGGTAAGATAAATCCTAGTACCCGAGAGATCAAGGAAGTTCTTGTGACTGCCATTTCGACTACAAAACATCCGAAGAAGCTCTAATTCCCAGTAATCAAGAACCCCTCCGAAGAAAATATCACTATATGCATCATATGTACACATTTTACTGACAATTTTGGCAGACTCTATTAGAAAGAGCAAAACTTCACTCCAATTTCAGAAAATTTCACTCCAAAACTAGGTCATCTCAAGTACACCCAAAATCAAGGTCGATTCAACGGAATTTTTTCAAATCCCTAAAATCTCAATTTTACGAAGCAGCGAGAGGAGTAACCTGAGCCTTATCGGCGAGACGAACAACGAGACGGCCAACGGGAAGAGGAGATTCATAAGAGAAAGAGTGATTGATGGACTCAGATCTCATGTAACGAGAGAGAACACGACCATCAGCGGTAAGACCAGCGATAGCTACACCGATATGGTCATCAACCTTAAAGATCTTCCTCTGATGCGAAGAAAGCTCCGATTGAGCTTTATTGACACAAGCAAGTACGACATGGGATCGAGATCTGAGTCCGATTGCGGCTGAGCCTTGCTTCACGGCTTCCATTGCATACTCTACTTGGAATAGCCGACCTGTTGGGCTCCATGTTGTCACATCTGTGTCGTACTGGTTCCTAAACATCTTACCGTCTTCTTCTTCTTCGATTGTCAGAAAAAAAAGGGTTTAAAGAAGAAGAAACAAAGAAAAGCTTTTCGTTTGCTTCAAGCTACGACGAGATGGTCTCTCTGTTAAGAACAAAGTAAAGAGATGGGCTTATAAAATCTCAATGGGCTTATGCTTTAATATAGCCCATTTGCTCTTTTGATTATAACTGGTTCGATCCGGTTTAACCGATCTGAACCGAGTCAAAATTGGTTTAAAACTCGAGAAGGGATTACACCATAATTAGTGAAATAATAGAGAGAAAAATTCGTAAAAGAGTATTTAGATTGATGAACTTAATATGGAGGAGGGAGATAAGTTCATCAATGTAAAAAAAAAATTGGGGAGTTTTTGAAACGAATAGAGATTTATTTGTATAGTTTCAAATTCTTGAAGAATGAAATGATTCTAAGAACATTTGGGGAATTATTTGAGCAATTTTTAAAAGTACCGGTTTAAAAAGAAAGAGTATTGTAATGCTAAATGCGTGCATATTCAGATAACCTCTTTGGATTTGTTTGTTTTCGACACAATATTTATTAAGTAATAAGAAAAATCACAAAAAAAATGTAGTCTCCAAGAGCGTCTCTCGGGTTTTCCTCTCTATCTAGTAGTCTACTTCTAAGTTCATTCGTCGTCCCTCTTGTTTTATTAATATATTAGTCTAACTTGTCTTGTTACAGAATCACAAGAAGCCATTAACACTGTTTCTGAGTGAGAGAGAGAGTGAGGTTAAAGCTAAACATGTAGACCATCTCTAATGGTGGCGTTCTTCAACACAACAGTAATACCTGATCTTATGTAAAATCCATCCTCTGGTCTATCTCCTTCTCCCACCCCCTGCCACACCAACGAAACAACAATCAATCATCGGACAGCGAGTTTCTTCGATATTAAAAGAGAAAAGGATTTATGAAAAAACATACATCTGCATTTGCTATAACCACGTTCTTCCCGATCTTGGCGTTCTTGTCAATGATACAGTTTCTGTATGTACAACACAAGCAAGACAATGAGCAAAAATATGGTAATATGATAGATGATGACTCGGCTTTCTTTTGGATAGAGACCAAGTTTTACCTGATTTTGGTGTTCTGGCCAACCCCTATCGGAACTTTCCCTTCCGCTAATAGAGAGGCGATTTCAGCTTCTGTTTGGTAAAAATCTGCTCCCATCATCATTGTATCTTGAAGCTCTACTCCAGACTCTATACGTGATCGTATCCCCACAATAGAGTGCTGCACACTGCATTCTCTCAAGAAGCATCCATGTGAAACTATCGAATCCAGTATCTGCAGTTTCAGCATAAAATAAAAGTTAAAACGTTAGGATCGATGGAATCATCAAGTCAAACAAAAGGGTATAAACGGATTCAAGAATCGTACCCTGCATTTATCAACTTTGGTAGGTGGCAAGAATCTTGGAGAAGTGAAGAATGGTGTTTTTGGATCATAAAACTGGAATTTAGGAGGCTGCCAAAAAGTCAGATATAAATGGCATGATTAGAATTCACTTGAGTCACCAGACTGTTCTGGAGATAAAAAAAAAACAATAGGGTCGGGGAAAACCTGTTCCGTGAGGGCTAAATTGGCATCAAAGAATGATCCTACGGTTCCAATGTCTTCCCAATAGTCATTGAACAAAAATGCCTGGACATTATGCTCCCTTACGGCTAATGGGATTATTTCAGAACCAAAGTCATTGGATGTAGGATAAGTCGATCTTAGAAGCTTTAGTAAAACCTCTTTTCTAAACACGTAAACACCCATCGATGCAATGTATGGGAATTCCGCAGCTTCTTTTGGTGGTAACCCAAGAATTGAAGTGTCGACTTGCTGAAAACGTGGAAAAATGGTTCCGATAACGTTGCAAGCAAGGAAATTGGGTGAGTTTAACTCGCGTAATGAACATTTTGTAAGAAAAAACAACAAATCATTACCATTGCCTTTAAGTCATCTCCCTTTGGTTTTTCTGAGAATTGAACGATTTGTCCAGATTGGTCAATTTTAAGCAGCCCATAATCCGAAGCACGGCTGTGAAAACAAGAAGGGAGAAATTCATCAAACAACAGTGTGGCAAGAACACAGTCAATGAATGCTCACACACACCTTTGATCCATGGGAAGACAAGAAACTGTGATATCAGCATTTGACTCGATGTGCTTCTGCAAGAACATATAATAAATGAAACAAAGTTCGGATGCAACTCAGTGTTGATAACATGAAGAATAAGACTAACCTGCACAAAGTTCATGTAATCCATCCGATAGAGATGATCACCAGACAAGATCAAGACGTGTTCCACGTTCTTTGTCTTGGCATCCTGCATAAACACCGTCAAATTATGTTTCCACTATATTTATTGCGCTGACCAAAACACTTATTGTGAGAGAAAATACAAAGAAAACAAAAACCTCAAAGATCCACATAAATTGCCTAACGGCATCAGCAGTTCCCTGAAACCATTTCTTCCCTGCATCTCCAGAAGTTTGTGTTGCAGCAAGAACCTAATCATTCCGAAAGAAGACGCTTTAGAAAAACTCTGAAAGATAAAATAAAAGTCTAATCTATGGCAAGTAATGCAATCACCTCAACAAACCCATCACCGAAATTGACTCCATTGCCGAAGTTGTAAGTACGAGAAAGGTGGCGATTGAGAGAGAAGGAGTTGAACTGAGTTAAGATGAAGATCTTTCTAATACCACTGTTAATACAATTGCTCATCGGTATATCTATCAGCCTGTAACACCCTCCAATTGGCACCTACAAATATCAAAACAAGTTAATAAACCTCATTGACAAAATGAATAAGAATCATCAAAAACAATATCCAAACGAAACACTCCCTCACCGCAGGTTTAGCTCTCTTGCTTGTAAGAGGAAACAACCGAGTCCCGGCACCGCCACCTAATATGATAGATGCTACATTCTTTGGATCTGCACTTTGAGTTCTCAAAATAGGTTCCTGAAAAGAGACTTCTTCATATCAAAACAAGATTTGAAAAGAAAAAGAAAAAGCTACATAGGGACTTGTGTTCCAAACAGAAGCTGCAAAACTACTTTTCTCATTCATGAGACACTCTCTATTTTCAAGTCTAAACCAAACCATACGAAATCTACGACCTTTAACTATCTGCATTTTAAAATCAGCTCTCACTAACTGTTCTCTAATCAACTCACAACAAGCCTTCACTAGAGTTACACGTAGCATACAGAGACATTAGATGATACAAGATTCCACACAACCAAAAGACGGAATTTTTTTTTAGTTGAGTTGGGGGATTAACAGTGTAAATACTTACGTGAGACTCTTGATCAACAAATGGGGTGAGAACAGAGCGAATGAGATTTGTCTGAATCCTTTGAGGTCCACTTGTAATTCTCTGTGTCTTCAGATGATTGGCCTTGACCACTTGGTCTCCCCAGAACGCACTTACTCTCTCAGAAGAAACAACTCCTTTGTGCAGACCAAAGGAACTCGAATTCTGAAGCTTCACTGTTGAACAAGATTCCATCTTTTTCAAACAAACAAAAAAACCCAAATTCTATAACTTTTAGGAGACGAAGTAGATCAGATTCTCTGAGTTAGCTTTAGAAAGAAAGAAAAAAAAACCCAGAACAGAAAACGGAAGATTCGATTTTGGGTAGAGAAGAGAATCGAGAAAAGTCGACTAATTTAAGAATGGAACACCAAAATTAAGGTTGTCAAATGGTGAGAAATGAGTGTGAGCTTTTTTAGATTTTCGCCAGATTGTTTGTTTGAATTAGAAGGAAGAGAGAAACGTTATATTATAGAGAAGAAAGAAGAAACAATCAAAAGTTTGATTACTTATGATTCTCGTGATCTTCTGCCGAGAACACCGCCCAAAACCTCAGATATTTTCTTATT